CCTCAGGCGAGGGCGACCGACGACCCCAGGAGGAGAACGCCTGACACGTGGCACGGAGCCTACAGGGCGGGGGTCGTCCCAGCCACCACCGGCTGCCCGCAGCGGGGAGCGCAGAGTCATCAATCAAATCAAAGACCCACACCGCCTCGCCCCACCGCCCTCGGGCCGCCCTGGGACCAGAGGTGGCACCACGAGCCGGGTCGGCCAGACACACCACACGGGAGCCGGCGCACAGGGCCCAGGCGGGCGGCTCCAGCGGCAGAGGCCAAATCAGGCGCCGGCTGGCGGCCCAAAGGCCCAGAGCCCCGCGTGCATCCAGAGACCCAAAGTTCTCGGCGGCAGACACCAAAGCAGACCGTGTCAGCACTTACCTGGTGGCAAAAAAGACCTATTTCGGGCGACACAATGACAGCAGCCGACAGCAGGGCCCATCTACGACTCGCAGGGAGGGACCCCGGAACCTTGACCCGGCCACCTGTTCCCAGCACTACCCCACGAACACCAGGCCTGGAGCTATCGGGGGCCATCTGGTCGACTTGGGGGGGGGGGGAGGGGGAGGGGGGAGGGAGGGGGCCGCGTGGTGGCAAAAGTGGGGACGCGGACGCCAAGGGAGAGGGAGCTGGCCGGAGACGCCCTCCCCGCTTCGCCCACACGCGTAGGCGGACCGGTCCGTCCGAGTCTCCGAACGGGGACTTGGCTTCGATGTGCATAAAGAAAAAAAGAAGAAAGCAACGTCAGCGAGGCGCCTCCAACAAGACGAGCCGGCCCCGACCAGGGACCACGCCCGGGGCCCAGACCGTCCTACACGGGGCACCCAGGACGGCTCGAGCCGGTCCCCACCCACCTCCTGACTGACCGGGATTCAGGGAGGTTGGGGAGGGGTGAGAAAAAGTCGCGTCCGACGACCGAGACCCACGAGGGCACGCTGTATGGTCGAGCGCGCCCTCCCCGGCCACCCGCGGGAGCAGGGCCCGGTCCATCCACGTCTCCGGACCTATCGGGACTTTGAGAAAGAAAAGGCATGCGTGCCGGGAGACGCCTCAGGCGACAGGACCCCACCGGGGGACCGCACACGCGCCCGCGCCGGCCGTCCTCTCCGGGTCAGCCCTCACGACTCCGGCGGGCGGGTCCCCACCTGGGGAGTGCGACGCGGAAAACACCTCTGTCAGAGAGAACCCGAGGGCCCGGACCCAGCCGCGCCCTCCGCCGACCTCCACGCCACAGTCCGGGCCGGTCCCCACCTCCGGAGCGGGGCCGAGGGCGAAGCACACGCTCCTGAGGGCGACCCGGGAGGAGGCCGGACCGCCGAGTCCGAGTCCAGGCGCTCCGGGCAGGGAAGACCCTCTCCCTGCCCACCGCGGCGGGCCGGCCCAGGTAGGGTCCGGCCGGTCCGTCTCCACGGCCGGAGGGGCACGGGGAGATGCTGGTCGACCCGGCCAGGCCGCCCCAGAGCCCCGATCTGGAGCGCCGCGACAGTCACCCTCCTCAGAAGCCTAGAGAACCAATCTCCGCAGACAGCAGGACGTCCCCAGGCCTCGGTGTCCCCGGGACTGTCACCGCCAGCGTAGCCGGTCTCTGAGAGCTCTGCCTCGGGCCCGGTGGCTGAGTCACAATCCTCCTGAAGGCCTCGCCGAAGCTCCGGAGGGGGAGGGACAATATAGAAGCGGCCGCCAGGTGGCTCCTGACAAACGGCTCGACCGTCCCGAGGACGGGTCGCTGTCGCCGGGCGCCGAGGACGCCACCGCGCCGGCCTCCCAAACGCCCGAGCTCGGCCCGGAGCCTCCTCCGCCTCCGAGCCACACGACGCGACGCGACCCCGGCCGCAGAGGAAGGGAGAGGAGCTGGGAACTATCTCCTCAGGAGGCTGCCCCGAAGGAGACGCGCTCCCCCCCCCCCCCCACACACACACACACGCGCGATTCCAGGGTGGTGGGGGGACGTTCCACGGAGACGCTGGCGGCGGGGGCCCGGGGGCCGAGAGAGGGGCAGCAGTGACATCCCGGGCTCCCCCGGACCCCCTCCCCCCAAAAGAGGGAGGGAGGGGAGGAAGGAGGGAGGGAGGGAGGGAGGGAGGGAGGGAGAGAGGGACCGACCGGCAAAGCGAAACCAGGCAAGCGCTGCTCGGAGAACAAAGCAGGACTTTCGAAAGCAGACACAGACACAGACACAGACACGCAAGCCCAGGAGCAAGAAAGGAAACGAAGGAGACACTCGGACCCCCAACAAGAGGAAACAAAACTCAACCTGGGTAGAGACCGTGACCAAGTCCAAAGACAACAAACACAAGCATGCGCGGGTGGGTGGGGAAAGTGCACTTGAGGTCAGGAGAACATGGATTTCAAGATCACTGGCCACAAACACCGGAAAGGCGGGCGGCCGGGCGGTCTCGGGTGGCAGGGCTGCGGGGGGTGGGGTTGAGGGAGGGGCGCGGTGGGGAGGACCGAGTCAATAGGGATCCACTAAATAAACCCCGGATTCCATGACAACAGCCAAGTCAATGAAGACATAACTTTCTGAAGTAGCACCTAAACGAAATGAAACAAAACCACCAGGCAGGAAAGTCAAGTCATAGAACTGCTCTGGCAGCTTAAAAGTCAGAGGGAGGGAGGGAGGGAGGGGGAGAGAGAGAGAGAGACAGAGAGAGACAGAGGCAGAGACAGAGAAAGAGAGAGAGAGAGAGAGAGCGCACATGTGCATATACGCATGTACGTATGTATACGGACACATATTGGCATCTATATATACGTGCACACATGCGTCTAAACAAGTCCGTACGAAGGGCATGCATGCTCACGTACGCGCATGTGTCTGTGTGTGCACGTATATGCCTAGGCGTTTATAGTGTGCATGGTTGCTTGCGTGTATATACGCATGCACAGGCATCTATCTATACACACACGTACACGGATATGCACGCGCATGAATGCACATGCTCATATGTGCCTATACGTAGATATACATACCTACATTTAAACAAACACGGGCGTGTAAACGCATATAGATGCACACGTGTGTGTACGTGTGGTGTATACGCACAGGTGTGTGTGCGCGTATATGCGGACACGGACGTGCATGCTTACATATGCACACATATCCGCCTGTGTATATGCACACGTGTACGTACACGCGTATACATACATATGTACGCACGCCTAGACGTCTACATATAGCGTATATACGTCCACACAGACGTACGGCTGTATATGTGTATATATACGCATGTACGTATGTACAGTTGCAAGTGTGTGTATACAGTGCATATACACAGATTGATGTGCATGGATGCGCACACACACGCGCATGTGCATACGCGCGTGTGCATGTGTGTGCGCGCGTATGTATACATACACGTACGTATTGGTCAGTGTACGTGTACCTATGTGCATACATACGCATGTGTCTGTGTAGATGTCTCCGCGCGCGCGTGTGTATATACATATAGGCGTAGATATGTACATATATATGTGTATATGTACATATACACACACACAGACCTACACGTACGTACACAGGCAGAAACACACATCCGTGTGTGTGTGTGTGCGTGTGTGCGTGCGCGCATACCAGGAAAGCGCAAGCATATGGCCAAAGGGGATTTTCCGTCCAAAACTGATCAAGGCGTCAGACAACTGAACCTCCAAAAGAGAAACAATCCCCGATGAGCGAGGTCGGCAGGAGGCCCGAACAGACAGCTTCATTCAAAATAAAGGTAGAACAGACAGACACTCAAGAAGCACAAGGTAGGAAACAAATCAATGGCGGGGCTGGGCTGGGCTGGGCTGGGGTTGCTGGGGGTGGGGGCGGGCTCAGGGAAGCACCCCGGGGCGTTTATCTGGACAATGATAACTTGGAGGGGAAAGGCCCAGGAGCTGGACTCGCAATCGCGACAGCAAGTTCGAAACATCAGAAGACAGTGGCTCCTGATCGAGGGAATGCGTCTTTCCTGCAGCTGAGAAAAGTGTTGGCGGACTCAGAGATATCAGAGCTCATCCCCTGGCACCTCACAGAGAGAGAAACCCCATCACTAGGGAAACGAGTCCTGGGATCCCTCAGGACACTCCACCAAAGATTCCCCATCCGACCCAACCTGGCAACTCCACGGAGTGCCTACGGAGGGGACCAAGAAGATATGCGCGTGTGTATGTGTGGTATCGACACCTATACCCAGGTAGACATCCGTACAAACAGAATGATAGAACTCTCCGTCTGTGTGCCCACACCTGTATCTATTCAGGTGCGCGTGTGCGCACGCGCATGCAAACACACCCCCACCCACACCACGCCCACCCACCCACCCACCCACCCACCCACACACACACACAAATGGGACTCAACCACCAGAAGGGAATGAAATCTCACAGTCTGCAGGAACTTGGAGAGATCTTTAGAAAGGCTATTATGCTAAATGAAGCACCTCAGATCAGTCGTTTCCATGCAGAATCTACCAAAGGATACACCGTGAACAGAACAGAACAAATCAGAAGCAGGCTCATAGATACCACAAAGAAACACATGGGTGGTGGCCAGAGGAGGGAGGGGGGTGACACGGTGGCGGGGGTGGGTGGGGAGGGGGAGAGAATGAGTGAGTGCCACTGGTGACGGAGACAGACGAAGCGGTGCAGCCTTCCACGGATGAAATCAATGAGTCACGGGCACGTCATGACACCAAATGCCATCTGCCGTGACACCGAGTGGTGACGGACAGTCACTCACGAGATGTATCCTGGTGATCGCTGTGTCCTTCCTGCGCTACACTGAAACATCGTCTGTACACCTGGAAATTAATGGGGGAACAGCAACAGCAACAAAACCAAAAGAAGGAAAGAAGGAAGGAAGGAAGGGAGGGAGGGAGGGAGGGAGGGAGGGAGGGAGGCAGGCAGGCAGGCAGGCAGGCAGGCAGGCAGGCAGGCAAGAAGGCAAAAGAAAACCTTGTCAGTCAGTTAGACGTCAATTTGAGAAGAGTGGGACTGAGAGGGCTGGGGGCGAGACACTAGGGTGAGGAGCAGGAGGAGGAGCAGGAGCAGGAGCAGGAGGAGGAGGAAGAAAAGGACCAAGTGCCTTGAGGGGAAGAGGGAGATAAAGGATCCAAAGAGTGGACAGGACGGTCAGGTCAGTGCCATAGGGGAAGGAAACGAAGCCAAGGAACACATTCCCAACGGTGGTTTTGTTCAGCCCAAGATCAAGATGCGGATAGCACAGTGTCCTTCCTCCAGCACACAGGGACACACACAGGCCTCACTTGGCGAGGCAGTTCAGGATAACCCTGAAAGCTGAAGCTGAGAAAAGAAGCCATCACGTTCATCCATGGCTGAAAAGTACCATGGTCCTACGACATGACATTCAAAAATCCTACCAAACCATTGAAAGACTCTCTCACTCACTCGCCGTTAAAAATGTAGAGGACAGAAAAGGAGCGAAACGATGGTGGGTGGGTGGATGGATGGGTGGATGGATTTCCATGATAGTCTGATTATGGAACACACTGGCACAAAAGCATCCGATTCCCTTTTGTAAAGAATCTGTCTTGCCTTCCCGGCCCGGTGTCTTTCGGATGTCTGGATGATTCCCTCCCCCACCCCCACTCCCAGCTTTAAGATCAGCCTCCAAAACGAAGCCCTGTGTGCTCTCAAGGTCCCGCCGGAACTACCTCTTCGGAGCGCCCTTCTGAAGGGGAACGTTTTCACCCACGTCATCGCCCTGAGACGGCTTCGGCCTGTCCCTCCCCTCCCCCCACCGCCGCCTCCCTCCCTCCCTCCCTCCTGCTCCTCTTCCTCTTCCTCCTCCTCCTCCTCCTCTGAACTCTTGAGCTTCTCCTCTCACCCCACACGGCGGCAGTGTTGGCCTAGGTATGCTCAGGTGTTTCCTAACCGCATCCAAGCGGACTTCCGCTGTTTGTCAGCTGCGTCGTTCCGGGACCATTTCTTCCTGGACTTTTCCACGGGTGGGGGAGACCTGGACGGGCCGGGCCCAGGCGGCGTGGGGTTGAGGGTGAGGGAGCATGCATACTGGGGGGGGGGGGGGGGGGGGAAGGGTGGGGGCAGAGAGGAGGAGGGGGGGGGGGGGGAGGAGGAGAAACACAACTCCCCAGTGCCAGTGCGTGCCTATGGCCTGGAAAACAGATCACACGCCAGGCTGGCTCCGGAAAAGGGGGATCGGTCATGAGACCGGGCACGTGTGTCCTTTGCAGAGTCCCTGCAGATCGAACAGGCAGGGGCAAATTTTGGGCTTCCCGCAGTTAGAACTGTTCGGCCATTGTGGAAACAGGCGTCTGAAACACCGGGGTTAGGCTCTCGGTGCGATGTCCACAAGCCGTAGCCATTGAAATGTGTGCACACTGGAGCCGCCATGTAGAGGGAGATCTCATCCGACTCCATGTGCTCTTCCAGTGAGTAGGCCGGGATCTCAGGAAGAACAGACATCCAGGGAGTTGCGTGAATCTGAGCGTCACGCTTTCAGAATCCAAGTGAACCAGAAAGGAGGTTCACTCACGTGTGAGTTGGTCTTTCCATAGGCTGAATCCTCTCTTTGAGCAGATTAGGGTTCCGGGGGCAAAAATGGAGCAGAGAGCACAGAGAGTTCCCTTAGGTCCCCTGCTCCTCCCGCAACGGTCTTAGGAACATCCTGCCCCAGAGGAGTGTGCCGGCCACAACCCACCTACACCGAGACGTCAGTGTCAGTCATCCTCGTCCAGAGTCCCCCCCCCCCCCCCCCCCCCGTCTGCCCTCGCCTTCACGCCTGCCTGGCATTGTCCGTTCTATACGCTTGTATCGAACCTGCCCGGAGCCCAGCGGCATCTTCCCTGATCGGGGATTGATCGAAAACACCCTGTCCCCTGCCTCATCGGCAGGTGGATTCTTAGCCACTGGACCACCGGGCAGGGAAGTCCCTTCACAGCCTTCTGAAATCATCTACCCTGAAACACGAAATGTTGTCGTCCAAACCATTGGACCGTCACGACTGCAATGAAGGAAAATAGGTTCGTTAAAGAAAGTCTCAACTCCTCAGTGCTTGCCTTAGAACCACAAAGGCATCTCTCTCTCTCTCCCTCTCTCTCTCTCTCTCTCTCCCCCCCCCCCCCCGCGCCCCACACACACACGCACGCTCCACAGTCCGAAGGAAACCAACTTCTGTGTTTATCCATCCCACTTGTTGTGGCTGTTGTGCCGTCGCTAGTCAAAGAAGCTGATCTAATGTGGAATCCGATGTCTTCTTCTCTAGGACACTTCGAGAAGCAGCAAGAGTGCCAGTTTGTGAGAACCGAAGGCCGGCCAAACCGGCGTGATGTAACCCAGCGATGTGTGTGGTCAGAGGCCCATCTAGATTCGCACTCCAATTCACGGAGGGGAGCAGTGGGAACAGGAGTGTGGACCCTTCCCACTCCCCCAGTGAACAAGAAAGAGCAATCCTTAGAGCTTGGATTTATATTGAGGACTATGTAAACTAAGAACTTGGTCCACTGAGCAACCCTAAAAAGGTCAAAAGTTGATCCAGTCCCTAGGCAGGATCATGAATTAATGTCAATGGCCCCACATTTAAATCATGACACTAGTTCACCTCTGTTAAGTAGTTTGTGTTCTTTTCTCCTATCTTGACAAATACATATCTTTATACCTGTCTAGGTACAATGATGATTTCTGTATAACTGTCAGCAAAACATCCCCATGGACTTAAAGATGATATAGATTTGGGGTTTTGCATGGCAGGCAGTGCTTATGTGAATAATACAGCCAGGTATATGCATCCATATCTGTATGTATCTGTAATGATACTTACTTCATACAATGTGTTTATTGATTTCATTTAAAAAAACTACCAAGAGTGCTATTAGACTCACTATTTTCACATAGATTTTTTGTGTGTCCTATTGGCAGGACAGCATAGTCAGTGTCTATCATAGAATCAGAGATACCCCAGGAGTCCCTGGAATGTGAACCTTGCTCGAGGAACTGGACCTTCCAGAAGCCTGGGAGGAGCTGAGCAGGGCTGGGCTACAAAGGAGGGCATAGAGAGAAAGCTGTTTTTCTCAGTCTTCTGAGCTTGGATCAACCCGTCAGTGTTCGCAGGTGAAGGCAACCACCCATGCAACGTGGGAGTACAGTAGAGCAATGGAGAGATCCGCAGGATTGTGGTTTAGTCCATTTCATGTGAACAACTTTTGTTTGCTAGGCCAGGAACAAGTAGAATGTTCTGTCACATCTGGCCCGTGGAAGGGGTATAGGAACCTCATGACCTCACCCACGTAGTGAACCGTCGCCAAAGACAAAGAATTCCTACAGCCAGACGTTTGCAACCACGAACCCTGTCCCTCCATCGCCTGGCGTTTCAGAATGCTACGTGGAACCCTTTCAAGAAGCTTGGGGCGGAAAAAAAAAAAAAGAAAAAAAAGCAGCAGCAGCAGCAGCTTGGGGCTTGGAGGTATGGACCCCTGAATTCTCCTCGCTCGGCTCTCCCTGCAAGAAAACGTTGTGTGCTTGCCTGCGCCCCACATGCCAACTTATCGGGGGATCGGACCTCCCAGGGTGCCCCCGCACCTGGCACCCTGCCTGCGTGCGACATCCCAAGAGATCCTATGGAGAAACATCTCCGGCCACTCGCATGGCATCTGCATCGCTGGCAAGTGACCCTTCAGACCTCCACATAGATACGTGAGCACAAACTCTCCTTCACAGTCTGGGACACCTCGTAGGCTGTGTGAGCTCCTCTGGTTCAGCACTCCCTCGATTTGGCTGTGGTTTTGGTTCTGTTCTGCTCTGTTCTGTGTTTGCTTTTTGACCCGCATGATCTCTCTGGATAGGGCACCCCCAATCAAAGTGAAAATAAATCGAGTCTGTGTGAATACTATTCATGCATCAAGTGGGGATATCAACGACCTCTATGTGGATCCATAAAAATGGCCGTGTGGTGTTCAGGAGGATCATTCTGTGTTTTCTGGGTGCACTATTTGCTGTCCATTATTTCACGTGCCTTTTGGGCATGGCTGATGGAGACGGACACGAAGCAGCAGGGCAGCAATCTGGCATCTCGGCCTAGAGCGGTTTCCCAAGTGACATCTCAGAACAGGGGCTGAGAAGGCCATGGTCACCCCTCCCTGGGCCCCCCTCGGTGGCCAAGGGGTGGGGGTGGGGGTGGGGCTGACGTTGGAGAGACGGGGGTGGGGGTGGGGGTGGCGGTGTAGAGCTGGGCTAGGGGTTGGGGGCGTGCGAGGCGAGGGGACCGGTCCAGGTCCCCCTGACAAGTGAAAAGTGAAGGCAGGTTCTCTCCCGCTGAGAACTTCCTGTCTTCACGCATGTGAGAGGAGCAGGTTTCTCTCTGATCCACGGCCCTGCATCGTTTTCAGCCTGTTCAAAAAAAAAAAAAAAAAAACAGACAAAAAACGTATTTGTTTATCTCGGCTTGTTTTCCGGCCCAGGCCAAAGACCTCTTCGAGCCTGTCCAAAGGATCTGACAGGATGGGAGGGTGCAGGTCAATCCATGTGTCAAGAAGAGATCCAGGGACTCTGTCACAGCTGTGACTCGGGCCTTTTTCAGAAACAGGCCAATTTTGATGACTCCCTGGACAAGGGAGTCACCCCAGAAGTTTCCTTGAGGGGACCGAGTTGCAGGAGTCGGGGGCGTGGCCCCGCCGCCGCCGCCGCCAGAGGGCCTCCTCAGCCCGGCCGGCCGGCCGGCCGGCAGGCAGGGGCTATTGTCTGTGGGCCCCACCCCCACCCTCCCCCTGCAGGGCCTCGTCAGATAGCTTCGTTCAAATGCAGAAAGCTTTCCAGTCAGGTCAGAGCCTTTGACTTTGCCTCGAGCTTCTCTCTATTGAATGGTGATCCGCCCCACCCCCATTTCTCCGTTTCTCCACCTTGAGACGGCCCCTTGGGCACCGCGCGGAGGAAGGGGGCTAGGGGTGGGGGGTGGGGCGGGAGGCTGAGGGACAAACTCGCCTTGTATCAGGCCAAAAGAGTCTCTTCCTTTTCGTAACCCAGGGAACCCCACTCATGCATGTGAGGATCACGGACGTGCGTCGAAGCAGCCATCATCACTTGACATCTTCCTCCGTGGAAGGAGG